ATAGGGTAGTAGACCGATTAAGTAGGGTTAATTATATGGTGAGAAAAGTAGGTGTAAATAGGAATAGATCGAGTAGGCAGGATCTAGTCCATGTTAATAGAATGAAAAAGTTTTATAGAAGATAATTTAATGTTTTCTTGGTTTCTATTAGATTAATTAATCTTTTTTATTTATTTTTCATGTGGAACCACAATGAGATTATCCAGCAATGATTGATGATTTTCCAGCAATGCAGACTTGGAAGGACGGGAGGAGAAGATACTCTATCAAACAGATAAAACTTATTTCTTCTTTTTTATATTTTTTAAATTTGATAGATTATTGTCCTGTATATGCGCATAGTTCGTGCTCACCCTCCCAGTTGAACAAGGACTGTCTGCATTCGGGGAAAATATATTTATTTAATTAATTAGGCGTTCTTCATATGGAATATCCCCATCCCATATGTATGTTAGGATAGGTTGTTAGGGTTATATGTGTTTTTGTGCTCGTTTGTTTAAAGAAAGTGAGAATAGCTGATGGAACGTGATAGCTGCAGGATGAGGACTAAGGCAGCTGGGAGATCAATAGTAATGTAACCCAGTGATCGTCCGATGGATGTTCGAGCCTGTGTCGTCGTTGTGGCAGCATGCACGTTGGAGATAGCTTAGGCTTAGACAGTTAGGAAGTAGTGATGTTTAGAATTTTTTAGGATCATTCAGCCAGTTTAGGGTCGCTGAAATAAAGTGTTAGGGTTTGGACAGGTTCCTTAATTAGCTAGGATAGCTAACGAGTAATTATATTTTTTTGATTTGTTTGATTAGGATGTGGTCATGGTCTGTCCTTTTAGATAGGTTTTTGGCAGACTAAAGCCATAGCCTCCTCGGTGGTTACTTGTTGGTAAGATGATAGCTTCCGAGCAGTGCGTGGCTAGCCTGTAGTAAAGGCTGATCACCGATGTAAGTTGCCTATCATAGGTAGAGCATAGGTATCATAGGAAGTCGTCAAACCTGCGAGCGAGACGATTCGTGATAACTCTCGAAAACAACTTATAGATATGGCTCAGAAGCGAGATTGGCCGATAGTTCTTCAAGAGTGTTTTATCACCCTTTTTTTTTTTTTTTTTTTTATTTATTTCTCCAAAGATATACAATTTAAGCATATTCTAAAAACCTTGCCAACCTGGACATCAGGTTGTTGGCAAGACAACGCTCTTTTCATTTATATATGTATATCTATTCTAAGTTTAATTATTCCTTAATTAAGTTACATTAATTACCAGCTAATATTAATAAATTCAAAAACTAAAGGCTAAATAATACTACATCTACTTATAATATGTACCCTATAACTTGACTTTTGAAGAACAGAACGACCTCGCCTCTGCCCCATGCCTTCGGCGTTTGACCTTCGACGATGACAGAATTGAAAAGCTTCTGGAGGACTTTAAGTATCGGCTTGCCACCCGCTCTCAGAAGTTCTGTAGTGATTCCATCATCGCCCGCCGCTTTGTTGTTCTTGAGTTATTTGAGAGCCACACTAATCTCATACAGGCTGACGTCCGGGATATCTTCGGTATAATGTCGGGTAAGCTTGGCTCTGGGGTCTCTAACCTCGCTTTCAACAGGTGCTTTCGTGGAGTATAGCTGTCGATAGAAACTCTCTATCTCCCTCAGGATTTCAGGCTTAGATGAAATGATGCTACCGTCATCAGTCTTAAGCTTCGTCAGTTGGCTTTGCCCAATAGACAGATCTCTCGCGAACACCTTGGAGCCTTTGTTCCGCTCAATGGCCTCTTTAATACGCTCTGTATTAAATTGGCGTATGTCGCTAGTCAAAGACTTCGATATCTGCCTATTTAGCCGCCTGTAGTGACTTGCATCCTCTGAGTTCTGTAGCCTCATTTCATTTCTATGTTCCATGAGTTGAAGTGTTTTGTCGGAGAGTTTCTTTATTCTGGTACGGTGGGTTTTGAAAAACTTGGACCCAACCGTAAGGACAGTGTCCACCACCATGTTGTTTAGATCGTCCACATTTATGCAGTTTTCGAGGGCTTTGAAGCGGTTTTGAAGTTCGAGCTGAAAGCTCTCGGGGTTTTGGAGTTGTTCAGGTATTGGTCGGAGCGTAGACTCTATCAGTCGAGTTCCTTCCAGCCGGATATTGATATTCAATGTGTCTCGTACCAACCGGTGATCACTTCCTGTTTTAACGGTGTTGATCACAGAGACATCATTGAATATATGCTTTTTCGTCGACATGATAAAGTCAATCTCATTTTTTATTTTGCCGTCCGGACTCATCCAGGTCCACTTACGAGTTGGAGATTTCCTGAAAAAGGTGTTCATCATATAGAGGTTCTCCTTTTCCATGAAATCAACCAACATCCGGCCTCTGGCGTTCCGTTGTCCAACTCCAAATTGCCCCACTCTCAGTTCATCACTGCAACGCTTTCCCAACTTTGCATTGAAGTCCCCCACAACAATCGTGTAGTGGGTTTTGTAGCTATGCATGGCTTTTGAGATCTCCTCATACATAGCCTCCACTTCGTCATCTCGGTGTATCGAGATCGGAGCATAAACCTGAATGACATTCAACGAATATCGTTTTGATATTCTGAGTATCAGGTATGCCACCCTGGTCGACACACTTCCGATGGAAATCACGTTGTTAACAAGGGACTTGTGGACAATAAACCCGACACCGCCAAGGGACTGTTGGTCGCCCTCCCGGTAGTACAGTAAGTTGCCGGAATTAAGGATTATCGAGTCCTCCCCCTCTCTTCGGACTTCAGATAGCCCAATGATATCCCAGCGTAACTTACTAATAGCTTTTTCCAATTCTGTGAGCTTTGCGTCGGTCCTCAATGTGCGCGTGTTGTAGGTTGCCAGGTCCAGTCGTCGTCGTTGATGGTAGCCGGGTCTCCCCCGGGGATTCTTCGCACCCCATGCCCTGTTTCCAAAGCCGCTACCGTGACTAGGAAGAGCAGGACTGCCGGGGACTAGGGGGCAATTCTTTGGTGTGTATATCATAGGGGGGTTGTGCCATAATCGCCACGCTTGGCAGGCGGGTTGGCGATCGCAGTTCTGGCCAAGATGGGTAGAAGACGCTGCTGCCCGTCTTCTTCTGACATTTTTTTCCTTAGTCGCCTTTTACGACACCCACAGGATAAGAAGGGGTTGGTGCTATTCTAGGCCGGCACCACACGGCAATATAAATTATAATTTGATAATATAATTATACATACTTAATTTAAATACCTATTTACGTGTATTATATAAAATTTCAACTAGTTTTAGATTTAAGAGCAGTCCGCTAAAATTTATTTTACAAATGTTACATTTAACAATAGGATACCAAAGTATTATTTTTGTATTTAATTAAGACCATAAATGTCAACACTTAATTCCCATTAATAGGTCTATATTTTATAACAGCGCCGTTTTGGACCCGAGCCAGGCTAAAAGGAAGTGAAATTGGTTATGCTAGCTGATATAATAGTTCATAAGGCGTTGAATATACTTCGACCTTTAATTAAGTGGTCAGAATTAGGATGTGTGTGATTCGTACTCAAACACACACCTCCACATCAGCAGTACATAAGCCTTTACCAGAAAGATTAGCCTATGTCAATGCGCTTGGATTTGCCTTATTGGCGTTAGCTATAATGATGCAATCTAATACCCAGTCAGAATCTACTGGCTATCTTCTACAAACAGACTTTATCCATTGCAACCCACACGAATGAGACGACACACGCTTCGTATCCCATCGTATCTAGCTTTACTTGTGAACTACTAGGCACTTGTGACTAGCACGATTGTGCTCAGTTTTTTTTATAATAACAAGTGACGGGACGAACAAGTCGTGCGCCTGATGGCAAGCTTCACGCCTGTCCATAGTTGCGTGCCACTCAAAGCTTTAAATCGCAAAGATCTGAAGGGGATCCAGTGCGCTTATCACCCTGAGATTTGACAAGTCCCATGTGCCTGTAATGTCACCAGCACCCTTACCCTTCAAAACCGGAACGCAGTAATGCTGACATTACTGCTTAGCGGCAGGAATAGGTAAGGTGGCAGTGCTTCCCTGGACGAACTCTTTCACAAAGAGCTCGATTGCTAGTAGGTAAGTGTTTGTACAGAAAACAGCAAAAGTAGACCTACATACTTAATTATCTATATACCTGGTGTTTTCACTGGATTAAAGTCTTTATCGTGGAAAAGTTAAGGAAATGTTCTATATATTTCGTATTTACAAGAATTGTGTGTAATTTCCCTTTGATTCACATCTATTAAAAATACCCACAAAACATAACACATTGTTGTTGAAGAATAAATTTTTTAATTGCTGTTGACCATTAAGGCGATGATTCCATATAAATACGAGACAAATAGGTCATGTAATTAGCGTTTGGTATCTAGAACGGAATTTCCATAAAACAATTAAATAATCATTGTAATATTAGACGTAATTAACTAAAGCAGAAAGACGTCTTCACTGGACACACGTTTGTTATGTGACAGTCTTGATGAGATAACCATGAAGTGCAGTTTCCTTGTTTGTTTTTTTGTTTCGATATTTTTTGTAAATGCAACGGATAACGGTAAGTTTATGGATTTAGTATATAGATACGGAAATTTAATCTTATTTTTTATTACTCGTGTGTCACTTTCCATACAATGAAGAAATTAAAATAGCCAAAAAAAATTCATTTCGTTTGATTTGGTGGAATAAATCTATAGTTTTATGTCACGTAGCCATAGCAAAATAATGTATCAAAAATGTAATAAATGCTGCGGGAAAGTGATAGTCAGAACATGATTTAATAGTCTTTAGACGTTAAACCTCTTATAGGGAATGAAAATGTGACCTATGGTCACTAATCACGCTACAGCTAATATACGCCATTGCATTTTATAGAAAATTGTAAAAGATGCGTGCAAACGGACACCTGTTCGGTATACAGCGAAATGACAAAGCAAGAACAGCGAAGATGGGTCCAAAAACATTCCTGTCAAGCACCTGAAGAATTTATCGTTTTCAAATCTCAAGGAGACTTTGTAAGTCATATTTTCTTTATGAAATTTTGGACAAAGCTAATTTTATTAACACAGTGCACCAAATTGTACTTTATTTAGTACTGGAAGCAGGTTGGTTTCAAATAAAATTTATAAGAACCAATAGCACTGGAAAGGCATAAGCTCATTCCATAGAAACACTGATTTAGTAGCAGTAGAGCTCCTTGTAAAAGAGTTTGTCCAGGGAAGTACTGCCACCTTACCTACTTGTTACATATTTCTTCCGCCAAACAGTAATGTCAGCATTACTGTGTTCTGGCTTTGAAGGGTGCTAGTGCAATTACAGGCACATGGGACTTGTCAATTTATTTGTCAGGGTAACGGGCGCAGTGGCAGTCCCGTTGCGGTTTAAAGCTTTGAGTGGCACAGCTACTGTTACGGACAGGCGTGTAGCTTACCAACAGGCACACGACTTTTTCGTCCCGTCATTTGATATTATAAAAAAACGAATACTTCGTACTATCGAAACCATTTCTTACAGATTTGTTGTCCCGACCGAGCAGAATGGGAAAATGAAAATCTAGAAATCTCAAATCTCCCCGACAAAGTCGACAAAAAGGGTGGCAGACTAAACAGCCATGAAGAAGACATAGAACACAGTCCTTCAGATGACGACGACGATGAAGACGATTTTGATAACAGTGATGAATACGAACGACAAAGTTGGTCACATAGCCCTTATAATCAAATGCCCAATGGTGTTTATAGACCTACCAGACCTCACAACTATGAACGCCCAAACTTTAACCGCAATTATAACCACCCTGGTGGCCATCCTAACTCACATTCTTCTTTAATCAAGCCCCCTATTAATAATCCTAACTTCAACACCAATGGTAATTATGGTATCAATAGGCCAAATATCCATGAACCCAATTATGACAATCGTCCGAATTTCAACCACGGTTTAAATACCGACTATAATCCTAATCCTAATTATAATGTTCCAAATGGCAATTATCCTAACTATGCACGACCAAGTGGCAATATTTATGGAAACCAATTAAACAATAACGGTGGAGTAGGTGTTGATCAATGTTCCAGTCTGACGAGCGTCCTTCCTTCGCCACAGACAGGTTGTTGCGGTCGTGAGGCTACAAATGATAGAAACTTTGGTAAGTTGGTTTTTCTACAAATAGTAACAATTAACATGTTGTTTGAGTACATTTATTTCTCTCGTGAGTTTAGGTGTAATTTGTGGTTGTCTATGTGTGTGTCCATGGCCCGTTACCGTACCGTTACCGTACCGTACCTTGTGTCGTCCATGGCACGATACAAGGTTTCCCTGGAACCAGGCTATGAGAAAAAAAAGTTCTGAGAGGTACTTTTTTTTAATGAAGGTCGGATGTGAAATTTCTTCTTGTCTTTTGAGTGTCAGACAATCAGCTGCAGTAGCAATACCCTACACTTTCTGATGCAATGTTACCAAGTCTTTTCCCAGCAACTTTCAGCATGATTACCAATTATAGCAGCACGTATCTGTCGTGCCTGTACACAGGTCCTAAATGTCCCAGTCCTGGGACTTGTCTTTACCATTACATACCAGAACATATTATCCTAAGAAAATTATTAATCGACACTATTAATTGTTGTATTGTTATGTTTTTAGACAGGCAATGAAAGCTAATTCCTATTATTTGCAATTATTGCAAGAAAATGGTTTATATTTATTTCATTTAATGAAATTGATTAAATGTCTGCAATATATCTTATTATTTATAATTAACGAAATATGCTTTTTTAGGTGCACAAAACGGTTATATGAACAGACCACCAAACTTCAATCAATGGGCACCTCCATATTCATCATATCCTGGTCGCTATACACGTGACACTGATACTTCTGTACCAGATATTACTTTGGACAACCGCATCGCTGGTAAAATCTTTTTTCAATAAGACAAAACACCACAAACAAACACACGTGCCTCCTAATGTGATACTAGGGACACAGGTATTTCCGTACGCCCTCGTATATATCGTTGCTTACTTTTAACTTTGGTTTTCTAACAACTACCGCAGTCATGGTTTGTCTTACTTTAAAATATTTATTACAACTTTCTTATATGTGTTTAAAATACGAAATATAATAATATATAATATTTATTATATATAATATAAATTATATGGAATGTGTTATATATGACTAGAAAGGTGGATAAATTCCCTATTAGATAAGTTATATTTCAATGACATATCTAACTTATGTTGGAAGAAATAACATTTTCATTACAAAATTGAGGTTATTTCTTCACGCCAACCACATTTCACACAATGATTTCACTGTATTCCATTGATAGACGACACAATACACATACACAACATTGAAGTACAGTAGTTTACGCACTGATTTTAAGTGTTTTTATCACTTCAGAACACGGAACTTCAGAATGTTTATTTATTTGTCAACAAACAGTCGCCCGGCTCGCGCGCGATTTACCGACTAATGTATGAAATAATAATGTGACATAGTATCCAAGGTTCACCATCTTTACCAGACCTTTTAATATTCTTTACTTTATCCATTTTGCATGAACTCTTACAACGTCCAATAGAGTAAAAACCCTAATTATAGTATTTTTTTAAATAAAATCTACTGAAGACGCGCTATAACGTGTTTGTCAATAAGCATACACCACAGAAAGTCTATAAATGAAATATATCTAGAATAAACTAAATAACACTAGTTTTTAGAGTACTGATGGACTTTACTGGATATGTATAGAACAATTTTACTAAAAATAATCAGTTGATCTACAGATGAACTTAAAATAAGGACTATAAGAGTAAGTCTTAAGAGAGATCACACTTAATTAAGTTGTTTGGTATTAAGATTTTAAAATATTGACTTGAGTGAAATAAGTCTATAAGACCAACTTCTTTTTTCTAAAACCATTTATAGAGAACTATTATCTAAACCTATACCGTAATAAGACTGTTTATAGATATAATAGTTTTGAGGTGTATAAAGTGTGCTGCTTGGGTGGATATATTTATACCCATAGTATATATGAGATGTGTTGACTATACAAAATATAGTTTGTGCCTCATCTATTTAAAATATACAAACTACAAGTAACCGGACACCACGAGAGTATTTGGAATATCAATTAGAGAATAAATTATCCACTGAGATACGTGAAAAAACAATGATTATGAATACAAGAATACAAGATATTTATTCGCTGAAAAATGTAGTTTACAATGGTGTTATAGTATATTATTATTAGATCGTACATTTCACCAAAACTTGGCATGCGAAAATTTTATACAATTCTTATTTAAATCACGCACAGTGGTTAAATTTTACATTTTATGTTATCAATTAAGAACAAACCCACCTCAAAAGTTTTCATCTATTGTTGTTGAAGAAAACATTTCTTCTATCTATTTGCCAAGTTTTATTGAAATCGATATGGAAAGTGGGTGTAATCTAATAAACCAGATCCCCTAATTTGTGGAATATTTTCTTCGAATTCAAATAAAAGCACTAGTGGTCACTTTATTATTATTTTGTTGAAAAGGGGGTCCTTTCCAGCAAAAAAATAATCATTGAAATCCGTTCACAAATGTGATACACACAAAAAAAAATACAGTTAAGAACAAAAGGAGGAGTACTTTGTTTGAAGTCGGTTATGGTACATACAGATCGAGAAAAAGCGCTGCACGCGCACTGCATGCGTGCAGTTAAATACGTCTCTTCGCGCATCTTTACGCGCCCTTACATACATTTTAGGTAATAATTGAAATACGAACACAAATTATATACTTGTATTGCAAATACACGAAATTCAAGAACTGTCCAGCCATAAATCTAGTCCGACAGTTAGTTAATAATTTTTTTTTCCAGGTGGAAAAGAAACAAGCCTAACACAATTCCCTTGGACGGTATTCCTAAAAACAACCTTCGACTACGGTACAAAGAAAGCATCGTTCAACTGTGGAGGTTCTTTGATCAGTGCCCGTTATGTATTAACTGCTGCTCACTGTATAGATGAAGAAAATGCCAGAGTTAGCAAGTGAGTTCAATTGCAGACTATAATATAAGAGCTTTGGTCACGTATTGTGACCTAAGCTAACCGCAATTACCTGCGCGGTCGAAATCTGCCCTAAACGATCATTCATATAAAAAAATACTTAAGAATTTATTACATTTTTACTGTATTTTCACTTATTTCTACTTCAGTACTTAGGCAATATACAATTTTAGGGCAGGAGAAATTTGAAGATATTTAGTGTGTAATTTCCATCTGACTACAATTGTCGGATCATAATTAATTCCGTCATAACTAATTCACTCGTCGTTAAAATATGATTACTCGTGATATATTTATTTACATTGTGTCATTGACGTAATTACAGTATTGACATCAACTTAGCCGAGTATGACAAGCGTACGTTCCCTAGAGATTGCGTGAACGTTCCGGGTGAAGGCCGTAAATGTATAGACAACGTAGTCATGGAGGCTGAAAATATCATTGTATATCCGCAGTACGATAGTGTCAGGCTACAAAACGATATTGCATTGATTAAACTTCGTGGCAACGCACCTTACACGGGTAAGTTTTGAATGTATTTATGTTAGCTATGAAATACCTAAAAGTTTTGTAACTGAAATAGTACAATAATGTAATAGAATAATGAAATTTATGTCACGACATTTACATTACACAAAACGATACTAGCCAAAAATCTGGGTCCCAATTCTGCTAATTGTCTTGAAACCGCTGGTCATTGTAATTCCATTGAGACTCCACTAAGGTTATATTACATCTATGATAGTAGTTAGTAGAGATGAAAGGGATATCCGGTAAGTATCCGGTAATCCTATTTTTACTAATGACAGTTCCGGATAGTAGAAAGGAATCCGGCCGGATACCGGATTTTAAAAACTGAGAAAAATTCATAATCGTCACGCCAAATAAATTTATTTATTGATTAAAGATGATAGTAACAGGGTAAACAGCAACTACAGGATCGGTGATAATCTGTTTATTACTTGCAACTGAAAGAACTATGAAGTAAGATAACATTATCTGTAAATTTAGCACTCAAGTTTCAAAAGGCAAATTATAGACCAGTATAAGACCAGTTTTTCTGCATTAAGTGGTAAAAGTTGGTTCTATTCATTTTCATAGGCGGTACCAGCTTCAGAGGGCAGTTTTTTACTATAATCTCTTGCAAATTTTGCATTCGGCAAAACAAACAAACAGCACTGATATTAAAATATTGCCAAATATGCGATTTTTCTTTACTGTTAACATTTTTGTGTTATGTATTTTGTTTGTATTATCGAATAAATTAATCGTTTTTATAAAAACCAGGTCACCACAACAAATCAAATCGTCGATATGTAAGTTCGACCATGTTCGACGCTACATAGCACATTTTTGCACTTTTTTTTTATTAAAATCTTTCTTAAAGTTCTGAGTACTCGGAGCTTTGCGCAGTCGCGCATCTGCCCAAGTTTAGTACGCGGACTGTTTTTGTGCTTCAGTACAGCTACAGTCAGCGTTAAACCATGGACGAGTTTGGCGTCCATTGGGTACATCAGAGTATGGTAATAATACTCCATACTCAAACACAAAACCTCAACTACAGCATCAGCACAGTTCGACGAGTCTACTGAAATAAAGCACGCCTGCCAGGGATAAGACGCAAAAAAATGGCGCATTTGATCCCAATCTGCTAACCTGTATCGCCACACCCGTCTCATACCACAAGGGCCCTGATCGGGTGGGGATTGTACGGATACAGTTTCCACCAGACATTGGTCGGAAGTACCCAGTGGGGCGTCCACAACAACGGAGTATCGGTCTGGATCAGTAGTTAACAGAAGGTCCAAGCAATTAGCTATATGAGACTCAACGTCAGGGATCCTGGTGTCACCACTGACAAGCTGGGAAAGGCTTAGCGTTAACGCAAGTTTACACGTCTCTCTCCCAGCGTGTTCGGTCATCTAGTACGGGAACAACCATTCTTGATGGTGAGCATCAAAGTCCCCCAGAATGACTAGTTGCGACTCTGGGTATCTAAGCTGAGCCTCATCAGACGTTTCACTCAGATGTTGGAACAACTTGGTTGCCTCCTGATCTCCACTGTGCGAACGGTAGACACAGCAGTACACTATGTGTGTAATTCCTGTGTCAACCAGATACTACAAAACAGAAAAACTCGGAGTCTCAAGGTTCTTGAGACACTTGATACAGATGTCATACGTACACACAGTCGTGCGGAATCGAACGCGCTAGGGTTGTAATGTAAATGAAAAAGTTGTCAGACTTTGAAATTACAATTATTTATTTAATATTAGGTAATTATTATAATATTAATACAATACAGTAATTTGAAATTATATAACAGTAAAGCGATGGGTTAACGAATTACCTCTCAATTTAGAAGTTGACGGCTCGAATGTCTACGCGGCATGTTGTACCTATAACTTTTTTAAGTTATGTACACATTTGTCGAAATTCAGTAGTAACCTTTCGCTAACGATTAAGGAAAATATGTTGATGAAACAAGATCGAAGAAGGTTCAGAGCCTTTGTCCCTAAGTCCCCAAACCGCATTGGGTAACATGGCGGAGTACAGCCTATAAACTCTTTCCTTAGAGGAGACCCGTACCTAGCAGTGGGGCGACTAATGGATACCGATGATGATGATTTATTATTTAAATGTGTTTAAGTTTTAAAATGATATATACATTTTTTCCCTTCTCTAAATTCTCTGTTGTTGTAATTCATTGTAGCTTGTCTAGTAATCTCGCTTACATAAAATAATTGAAAATAAGTTATGTAATTTCTTGCATTAGGCATGATTTTAAATATTTAATAATCGCATAATTCGTTGATCACAACCAACCAACTAAACTTCTTAGGAATTGATGGCACAAAGAATCAAAAATAAAGAGATTAATAGTAAACAAGATTAACACTTACCTTTCTTTCGGTAACGAAAACAATGATAATTTATTGTCAGTACACTTCTACACTCATCCACCGAACAATAATGACGCTATTTCGACATTGCAACGATTTTTTTACGAAACATACCGTACGACCATTCAGATGTGTGTGCGACACTCTCTGAGAGTTTGCGCCGGCGTCGACGCACTCAGCGGTAGGCACTTATCGCGCAACCTTGAGCGAGTGACAGAGCCCTGACCAAACGTACAACGTTACACACACTATGTGATTTTGTACGTTTGGTCAGGCAGGTCACACACAGTTGCGGTGATTTAAAATTAGCAGACTTGAGGCCCAAGTTCAGTTGTCTTCCAGACGATTCTCGCGTAGTCTGCCGAAGACGCACGACCTCTTTTTGACTGGTATCGTATGTTATTTCGTTACAAAACTTCACTTTCATTCCGTTCCGCGGAGCCGAAGTCAATGAAACATAATTTGGTGCAATCTAGTTTAATACCAGTAAAATAAAGGTAACTATCGATTTGTAAGTGGGTATTTCTCCAAAGCTAATTTCTCAAAATTTTCTGTGTCCATGCACTAGCTCCACTTATTTATCTAAACAAAGATCTACAAAAAATAAATGTATAATATAGGTCGAAAGCTAACTGGAGAGCACAAAATCTTCCCAATAAACCTTTTGGACCTAGTGGAAAAAAATCCGAAATGCCTAAAACCTGACAAAGTGTCCCGAATGCAGAATCCAACACAAAGTGTCATTTTTCTCAAAATTGAAACTGTATATGAATATTAGACTTTAGCTCACGTATAATAAATTAGATGATAGTACTTACAATCTGAATTTCAAAATAAACTAGACAATAGTTTTATCACAATACCAAGAATGCTGTGTGTCCCAGGCTTACGCGAGAATTCGGTGGTCGTTACTAATCACGCTACACGTCACAAGTGAAATATTTTAGAAGCTTCGCAATTCGTTCGTATTATTCATTCATCACGGCCCTGCGGCTAGAGTGAACAGGTGGATGATTTGTTGCCGATTTTAGGACTTTTTGCTTGTAAATATCTAATTCGGTGGATTTAGTCCTGGTTGATTTTTGAATTCGGTGTATAGGATGTTTCAAAAACTAAATTTTATGGTTGTAATATTTTTTATAATATGTGTTATAACAACTAGAATATAATAACAATTTATTGGTTTTACAAGTATTGTCGTTTACGAGTAATTTCAAAAACATTTATATTTTCTGAATCCCGTGGCCTTGGTTTCGGTGGATTTTATGCCACCGAATTCAGAAAAGCTTCTACCGAAGGCGGAAAAAACTACCGTCGAAGAAAAATTTGTTCGAAAAGCAAGAATTTTGTACGTTTTTTTATATAAATGTTTAGTTAATATTATTGATTTTCACAATTTTATATTACTACTTCCTTCCCGGAGAAAATTAATAAGGAAAATCAAAACTACAAGAAAAATTTGAAATCAAGAAGACGAAGGAACATGCTAGAAAAGCAAAGATAAAAAGCGATCCAATTATATATGAAAGGTTTAATGAAAAATGTAGACAGAGGTATGCGAAAAAAAAGTGGAAGGAATCATTTTGAAGTTGCATGAATTATCCCGTCATGTATAAAAAGTAATGAAAAGTGTAAATCGTGCAAGTTCCAAAAATTTTATTGCTTTTGTAGCTACAGATTGTGTTCTAAATTTTTTTTTAAAAGAGATACGGAAGTACTTTACGTGATTGTAAAAAGGTTGATCAGCCAAACTGAAAACTAATTTAAATTAATAGTCATAAGTTGAAATTTGTTTGCGTTGTTCTGATCTGTTCATGAATAAATTTCAGTTTTTAAAGCTTGATTTAATAGTTAGTCATATTAGTAAATGTTTGTGTAGATTGTTGAATGTTTTTATTGCCTTTTTCATAATATTTTATACAAAAATTGTGCCTTTTGCTAAATTATTCTGATTTCGTTGGTAGCTGAATTCGGTAGATATCAAATCTAGTTGCTCAATTAACGGCGTCCTATGTAAGTTTGAGTTCTTTTTATTGAAATTAAGAAAAAAAATCTTCCACCGAAGTCAGAGAATTTAACCCTTCTAGGAGAAATGCCCAACTACTTCTTTGAGATGCTAGTAGACATTAAGTTGGTATCTACTTAATAATATTTAAAATTTAACTACCTATATGACAAGGTAGACCTTACTTACATGACTTGTTTTTTCAGAATATATTCGTCCTATTTGCTTACCACCGATCAACGTGGACAATCCTCAATACTCCGACTTACGTTTAGCAGTAGCCGGTTGGGGTCGAAATGGCACTGTCAGCTCCCCGGTGAAACAATCGACAGTTGTCAACTTAGTACCTCAACGACAATGCGCAGAGTCCTACCCACATTTGACACAGAAACACTTGTGCGCTGCCGGTCACAGTGGCGAAGACACTTGTAAAGGAGATTCGGGAGGTCCACTCATGATGCTTTACGAGGGACAGTATTACATTTCTGGCGTAGTCAGTGGCAAGAGAGCAGACTCGCCATGCGGTACCAATGTACCCTCACTTTATACTAACGTGTATCATTATATAGACTGGATTAATCAAAATGTTAGATATTAATTTCCTGAGTAAAAATAACAATTACTTTCGTCTTACTAATAAATTATACAAAACAACTTGAAATAAATTTCCCTGATTTATAAATACTGGTAAATTATTGCGATCTCCAAAAAACATACAGTTCACAGCTTATTTTAGTTTACTTACCTTAATTACCTCTAGGTAATTCAAATGTTGTCTAATAATTTACTTACATCATCATTATAATAATAATTTTAATCACTTAAAGAAGTTAGTCTTTAGTAGCAGTACGCTTCCTATGAAAGAGTTCGTCCTGGCCGCCAAGCAGTAATACTCACGTTACTGCGTTCCGGTTTTGAAGGGTAAAGGTGCTGGTGAAATTATAGGCACGTGTGGCACTTGTCAATTTATCGTCCGGGAAAGTGCAATTACGCGTACCTAGTATTTGATTATGAGTATCCATTTCGGTAATTTAGTGGCTAAATCAAAGGAATCTGGTACAAAACCATGCAGAGTGAGCCTCCTTGTGTCCCTTGGTTTGACCATGTTAAGTTAAGCAGGGGTTAGCGCGCATTGGCTTCGATCCGGACACGTTCCATTAAAAAAGTTTTTGTATTTGATGCGAAGGATGAATGGGAATGGGAATTGCGAAGTGTGTGGGATTCCTGAGGATGTACATCATTTGCTCATGGAGTGTGTTCGGACGGAGCCTATCAGGACGCGGTTTCCGTACATTTAATGTTGTGTGGTTTCAATCTGTTTTGTCGGAGCCAACGTGTAGCGCTGCGGAGATTTTGTACAGGTACATGTTTGGTTAGGTAGTATTTTTATTTATCTGTCAGGATTTTATTGACTGCTTTTTTGAGGTGTTGTTTTTCTAATGGGACTGACATGTTCAGTAACGATCAAAGTCCCTAAATAAATAAATAAATAAAGAGTAAAAACAAAAAACAAAATTAATGCTTACGACAAAAGACAATATAATTTTATGCTTACTTATAAGTCGTAGCCATTGAAATAACAAAATAATTTAAGTAATAACGTGAAATCCCTCTCCTGTAAAATTTGGTTTGGGGCATACGCGCCTTTTACTAACAGTCAGTGGCGGATTTGCAGTCTTGGCCACCCTAGGCCCCAGGCCATGTCAATACTAGCCGCCTCTTCTCAGTACTCATATACCTACTGGTAGACATATGTATATTTAATAAATAAAATGTACGAAAGTGATTTAGGAAGATTATTGTTATACGATGCGGTGCAGTGCGGCCCGCCATACTGTGCGTGAGCCTTTAAAATATTTAGTTACTTGGAGTTATTTCTTGTTATCATCAGCGAATTTTTTGTCACGATTGACCCCTAAAATCTGGCCGCCCTAAGCCCGGGTGTATTATTTATTTGGTACCATGAAAAAAAACAAAGTTACAACTTATCTTCTATGCGCGCTTTTTTATTTAACTTGATAATAAATATATACATATAAAATGTAGGGTCCGTTCGTTATGCCCCCGGTTTGTTATATTTGTTGTGGTGTGTGCCCCCGATTTTAATACATTTTAGATCAACATTTTTTGTCAGATATCTAGTCTATTTGCATTAAGTACTGTTAACAACTAAATTGTTTCTGAATTTAATAATTTATTTACATGTGTATGTGTGTTACAGTTATGACTTAATTATTGCACGTTGATAATAAACTTGTATTGGTAAAATAATAACTACTTAAATTCTAATTCATAAACTCGTGTATTATTTCATATTTTGTTTAACGACCTTATCTGGACAGGGATAGCGAGTGACGACCAACTGTTCAGCCTCGCCAGAAATAAAGACAAATATGCTGAGATGACTGCCAACCTTCACTAGTTGGATAGGCACGTTAAGAAGAAAAAGTCCTTATCTACCTATTACAATAAAAATAATTTCTGCTCCTAAGCCACGCAAAGGTCCTTAGATCACTTCCCATAAAAATGGTTTCAAGTGTAAAGGCAGTGTCGCTGACTGTACGTAGTTATTACAATAGTTCTAAGCTAGGAAAAACTATGTATACGGTGAAGTATAAATATAAAGCTTGACGGTATGGACCGTTCTTATCGTAAACGGCATAAAGTTGAATTTAAATGTTAATTGTTGTGCTCCTGAGCCCATATCAAACATGTCTATGTATCTTAAGACCCAGCAAACTACAAAGGGATAACTGCTAAGTTCCCAACATACACTAAAATGTACTAGTAAATACAGATAATTCCGGCCCAAGCAAGTGTTTCCTTAGTTTTGTATGAAAAACGTAACCGGATTATTTTAAGTATTTTGTATTTTGTCTAGATATCCTATGGTCATCTAGAATATAATATAGCACTAATTTGAATTTTTCATTAGTATATACCTATGTACAAAGGATTCATATTATCGCGGTCTGAATCACTTTACATGTTATTATATATATTTGGAAGTAGGTACACGGGTCCTTAAGAGGTTATATCTACATAATTAGGTTATCAACTCAACTATTTGAAGATTCAGGGATTATATGATAAGGGATTTTTATGGAGATATTAATTGACGAGATGACGATATTAACTTCTTTAGCGCTCTTTTCTGGAAGTGATCTATATGATAACAACGAGCGATTTAATAAAGTGCTTAATATGAGACTGTAAAATCTAATATGAAATGTTTTTTAACAATGCTTCAGAGTACCGAAACATTTTCAGCTTGACATATCGAATCGTGAATTAAGTCAGGCGGAAATACAAGATTGTTTCCGTTCAATAGGTCTAATCTCTCAAATGGTTATTCGTGCTGAAGCGATCCTTTTTTTATTGGCATGTCTTTGTCGATGGTTCCACATTATCATTGGTGTGGTAATGTAAAATTTTTGGGTTTCATTGAACGATGTCTATGGAAATCTTTGGATAATTTGAATGTATCAAGTAAATAGTAAGTAGGAAGCATTTCATCAATTTTTATCGCTATATATCTCTCTGTATTTCTCCTATACAGGAATATTTGTAAAATACTAACAACCAGGATTATGATTGTAAGAACATAAACAACAACTTTTTCACCTCACTAGCTCGTAAAGGCTTTCTTTCTCATTGTAAACCTGGGTGCAAAAGCGTTTTTTCGATGCTAGAGTGGAAATTGGTTTTTGAAATTCGCACTTGACGATGGACTGCGGTGCACCTAATTTTTTTTTCGATGAAAAAAAAACATAATGACACGTTCAACTACACGATTTGTCGTACTTTATTTAGCTAATATAAATCCGTTGGTATATTTTATTCTTATTATTGTTGACATTAAATTGATAACGATAACTAATTTTGTTTATTAAACCTGATTTGTTATAGTTCAACTGTTTTTCTTTCATCTACCATTTTCCTCGCTATAGTGAGGTAAAACTTGTGTGTTTCACTCGGCAGCAAAGTTGTTTTGGGTCTCGTGTCTTGAAACCTGCGCTACGCTCAGGATTCTAGGGTAGATGCCTCGGAAGCAATTGGGGGCATTGATGCGGTCTAGAAAGCATTTGCAAAAAAACCTGAATAATCTATATAAACTACACAAAAAATATTTAATTTCTTTTCCTTGTGATTTTTTATGTTAAATTAATATAAAGGAACACGTTTTCAATTCTGTTTTGTGGTGATGAAGTGAATTTGAAATTTTTTTATTAGAGAGGTGAGCTATGCTTCAAACGGTGATTAGACGATTACCTACTCCATGCAAAACGCAGGAGCGCACTTAGTGGTCGTCCTGGACCTTCTTGCACGTTTGAACTTACTAGATTACTATCAAATATAGATCTGAAGTGTATATTTTAATAGTACTACAAAAACTTAAAAAAAATAATATATAAATTTATTATATTTTGTAAAAAGTCGTGGAACAGAGGTTTTTGTTTATGATGTCAGTAATACATATAGTCCTGCGAGGTTGTTTGTATTTTACAAATAATTCTATATTTATACTATAATTGTTTACTTATATCTCATTGTTTCTCGTCTGATCCTTTTTTCACTCTTTCTCTTTTTCACGTTCCTAATTTCCCCGTTGTAAAAACAAGTCGAAAACCTTGTAAGTGGCTACTCGATAACCGCGAAAAGCCAAGAAGAAAATTTATTCTAAATGGCTTATAACCACTTCTATGAACATTTCTTTTATTAAATTTAACCAACTTTTGCAGTCCCAATTTATTCTTCCGATACAATGAAGTCATCCTGAAACTGAGGAACTATTACTATTTAAAAAAATAGTCAATTTTATTAATTTTGTATGAAAAAATAACTTATATTATTATTAAATAAGCATAATAATTTTTTAATGCTAATAGGCTCAATTTGATATAAATTGGTAAAAAAAGTGGATCCTGAGCGTAACGAGGGTTTCAAGGCACGAGACGCAAAACAAGCCAAGCGAAACACACAACTTTTCACCTCACTATAGCGAGGAAAATGGTAGATGAAAGAAAAACAATTGAACTATAACAAATCAGTTTTTCATCACCGCTAGACTCAGACTCGCTCATGTTTTGCTATTTTTCAATTTATTACAGTACAATTCAATCCAAAGTGTTGAAATTGAAGTCATTAAAATGAAAATTCGAAAAAAATAATTTTAGTATTATTATTTATTTATTTATTTATTGAGCATTGGCTATAGATCCATCAGCTTATACAAGCAACAAAGATTAAGAAACTTAAAACGTAAAAATCCTTTAAATTAAAAATTAATTTGTAAAAAAACTGTAACTACAAAAACCCGCCATTTTTTTCAATAATTTTAGTTTTGGGTGCATTTTGAATTTACACCACATACGTATTCTTCTTCTTTGTATTAGAATTTTATGTGGTTAACGAAATTATTTTAGTTCTTCAACAAACTAAAATAATCCAATAAAACAAAATTAGCGTTATCGTTGTAAATTTAATGTCAATAATAATAAGAATAAATTATTCTAACGGATTTATACTATACAATTAAGTAAAAAAATTAAGTATTTAATTTTTTTTAGTCAAAAGAAAAAGTTTATCTTCGGATGCATTGGCAATTTGCATCTCACAAATTAAAATAGAAATTATTTTAGTTCTTCGACGAATTAAAATAATTTGAAATAGAATAGAATAGAATCCATTTATTACATAACGCCACAACACAATAATACACAGTAATAAATAAAAAGTAAAAAAAAATAAAAATAAAACAGAACTAAGTTAAAACTTAAAAACAAACTAAATTAAAACAAACAGAAAATAGAATAACAAAAAAAAAATTAAATAAAATTAATTAAAAATAAAATCTTGGTAATAAATAATTAAGAGACCACAAAGCTAGTCAACACTATTGTTGTACTAAATAGATGCCATGTGTGCGGCTGTGGCGTATGTAATAGGATCCACTCAGCTAATGTCACCGCCGGGAAAAGGTTGTGACGCTGATTTCCAGTGGACCCTAAAACCGAGTGAGTACCGGATGTGTGTGTCGCGTTTAAACTAAAATAAATTACGTATATATTTCTGTAATGTAGTATGGTGTGTTCTCTTATATTTATATAATACTTAAATAATTCATTTGATACATATATGCAGTGATTAGCGTTTGCAATGTAGTGTCTATTATTTACAACAAACAAAAATGGTACTTATTTAGTTCAAAAAGATATCGATTGCGAGATTTGTGTCACGTGGGCGACGCAAGACGAGCGGGTAGGCGCGCGAGCGGGGTCCCCGGCTTACGAGCTACAAAGTGTGGCAGCTCCGTCCAGCTCCGTTGTAAGCAAACAGGTTTCGTCCTGCATCGTAGGTACTTACCACGCATAATAGCGTGCAGTCTCCTATGCCGTAAAAAGGTATGTACCGATATTTAAAACGTCTAACGATTGCGGATTATCATAAATAATTGTAATTGTTTAATGAATTGTTTATTAATAATCTCAGTACAGAGTACTAAAAAAACCGACCTCAAAAGTACGTGGAATTACATCTATTTGCTAAGTTTCATTGAAATATCCCCTAGTTCGCCACTATACAGGGCTTGATACTGGAGATAATAAAAATAGGTTCTCACTACGACACTACTCAAAGTATATCGAGGGAAAAACGCCTTGAATTGATGAAATAGCAAAATCAACTAAATAATTGCTAAAAGTAATTGCTCCTAAATTAAAGTTAGGCGCTATTTATAAAATTGAATCTTCATGCGTGAACAGCCACCCTTTGAGCTGGATGATTTCCTTCAAAATGAAATGGGACCACTATGGAAGTACTTCCTTTCCAACAAAAAAAAAAGAACATACAGTCGAATTGAGAACCTCCTCCTTTTTTGAAGTCGGTTAATTATGAAATATAAAAATTAAATAAGAATTGTGTCATATATCAAATAGTAATAATCAGTAAAATTTTTCAGGAACAAAATAAACAACCGAAAATATCTACGAAAAGACGCAATTCGCACTTGCCCCACCCCGCACGCAGAACAATGATGACGATGACCGCCGCACACCAATGCATTAAGTCGAAAACAGGGCAGTGAGTGCACAAGTTAACTTTTACGGTATTTTTTTTTGAATATCTAAAAGATATTGTTTGTATTTACTTTTAAACGTGTGCACCGTTTGTAGACTACTGAGTGGTGGCGGCAGCAAAACATTCCATATCTTCGCTGCGGCGAATTTGAAACTGCCACGGAATGCGGCGGCGCGACAGCTCGACAGGACTAGCAACCAAGCTGACGCTCTGGTGAAAGATGTCTTTACATCACGGGACCGCATCAACTCGTCAGCCAAATCAATCAGCGTCGCCAATGCCAATTGTTCAAAATCCCCAAAAATCACTATATAATAATAATAATAACAATAACGTACACACTCAACATAGCCCCGCACTAGGGAAACCTTGTGTCGCGGATGCCATGGTCACACACATAGACAACCACAAATTACACTCAAACTCACGAGAGAAATAAATGTAGGCCATACAAACATTTCTCCCGGCGGCCCGGCAATCGAACCTGGGACCTCTGTGTGGCACTCCAGCATGGTAACCGTTCGGCCACGGAGGCAGTTAATTGATAGATTAAACAAAATGATAAAATGTTAGAATCCCCACATTTTCCTCACATAGCGCCAATCCCCACAAAATCCCCAATCTAGTTGAAACTTCCCACAATTTGAAGAATTCCCTACAAATTGGCAACCCTGGATACAATAGTCGTAATTCGCGCTCGGGCCGGTCATGGCCGGCGTTTGTTTGTTGACAAATAAATAAACATTGTGAAGTAATTCCGTGTTGTGAAATGATAAAAACAATTGAAATGAGCGCGTAAACTACTGTACTTCAATGCTGTGTATGTGTATTGTACCGTCTATCAAAAGAATACAGTGAAATCATTGTGTGAAATGTGGTTGGCGTAAAAAGATAACCTCAATTTTGTAATGAAAATTTTATTTCTTCCATCAGAAGTCAGGTATGTCATTAAAATATTCCTTATATTTAAATGACAGGAAATTTATCCACTTTTCTAGTCATATTATAACACATTCCATATAATTATACAGAATAAGGTTTTTTTTGCAACAAATTGGATTTTTTCCAAATGTTTTTTTGACCTAGTGTTTTGAAAAGTTTTTTATTACATAATACGCTCACTTTTTCGTATAGTATTAGTTAGTTTATAAAGTGAGCGTATAGCTTAAAATTAGTATAACTTTATAAAGGTTTTGTAATACTGTCAAAAGAAAAAATCGCTTAGAAACATAGCGTTTTGTAGACAATCATAAAAACCTCATAGAAGGAATATTCTTCTACAAGATCAACTACACTAAAGCAAGTATAAATAATCTTTTAGTATTCCAAAGTTTTTCTATAGATAAAGCTATAGACAAAATGTGTTTTGAAAAAAGCTTTAAATTCTTATCGCCATTTTTATTTTTAAAGAATGACTATGAAGTAGCCGAGAAAAACTTCTTTTCTTTTAAAAAGTAAATCTAAGTTGAAATTAGCTTGAAGAGGCCTAGAACTTCTTGGAAATGGTTTGTTTTGTGAGTTATTTTGTATATTTAAGCTTTCTATAAATATTTAAAACCGAAAATCGATAACTGTATTTTTATTAAGTTTATATTTTATACATAAATATTTAAAATTTAGCGAGCGCATTACTTTTATGGCAGGTTTTACATCACTTTTCACAATGTATTTAAAGTCGCACGTCAATTTCCAACCGATTAAACATTGCGCGAAAAAGTCAGAAATATATCTAATTTCGCCATGTTGCAATTTTGATACTTTATATTTTGTAAGCCATTAAACTTGAAATCTATTAGTATT